TTGGTTGGTAGGTCTCTGCCCTTCTAAAATGGTTATGTTTGATATTTTTTCTAAACAATATAATCCTCAATTAATTAATATCAATTCATTGTTACGCCAACCAATTGCCACCCACCAATTGTTGTTGTTGACCCCTCTTAGGCCCATGTTGCCCAATCTTGGCTCTATGTTGAGCCCTCTGGGGCCTATATTGAAGGCAGGAAGGCAGGAAGGCAGGCAAGCAGGCAGGCAGGCAAGAAGGAAAGAAAAAAGGAAGGGAGGGAGGGAGGAACGGAGGAGGAGCGGATACCCCACGCCAAATATAGACCCCATATGGATAGTCCCCCATGTTAGCAACTTCACCAAACACAGGAGCGGACAGTTGGCGGGAGATAATTGGTTGGTGGCAGTTGGTGGGTGGCAATTTGTGGGTGAAATTTGTTGGTGGCAATTGGTTGGTGGCAATTTCTTAGTGAAAATTGATTGGCGGCAATTTGTTGATGGCAATTGGTGGGTGGTAATTGATTGATAATAATTGATTGACGATAATTAATTGGTGACAAAGTTGGTAATTGGTGGCAATTGATTCTGGGTGGCAATTGGTTGATGACAATCGATTGATGACATTAATTGGTAATAACTAGGTGGTAACAATTCGTTGGTGATAATTGGTTGATAGGTCTCTGCCCTTCTAAAATGGTTATGTTCGAGGTTTTTTTTGCTAAAAAAAAAATAATCCTCAATCAATTGCTACCCACCAGTTGCTGTTGTTGCACCCTCTTAGGCCCATATTGGTCAATCTTGGCCCTATGTTGTGCCCTCTGGGGCCTATGTTGGGCCGCTTTTGGGCCTATATTGGGCCATCTTGAGCCTATGTTGGGCCATCTTCGGGCTATGTAAACCCATCTTGGACCTATCTTGGGGGCCTCTATTGGCTCATCTTGGGGTACATTTTGCGCCATTTGCGTTGACACGGGCCCATGATTCAAAAATATCTGATTATGCATCGCGCCGGCGGCACACACATTACCGACACAATCTTTGTAAAATTCCAAATTTTGCATTTCACCACTATCCAAATTGTGTATCTTCCACGCCCATAAAATCATGTAAATGCAATATGTTTGAATACCTCGCACGCAAATCACAGCGGAACAGTGGCGGACACCCAGCTGCGTCAGCCAGCGCTAGGGCGTATCCCACCCCCTGGAGAAGATAATTAACAAGCAAATCATAATTGGTTGGCGACACTTCATTGATGACAGTTGGTTGGTGACATTTGGTCGGTGTAAATTGGTTGTGTGATAATTGGTGGATGGCAATTGGTTGATGACAAATGGAAAGCAATTGGTCGATACCAATTGGATGTTATTGACAATGAATTGTGGGAAAATTGGTAGGTGGCAATTGATTGTGTGTGGCAAATTGTTGATGACAATTGGTTGATGACAATTGATTGATAATAATTGGTTGGTGACAACTAGTTGATGGTAGCAATTGGTTGGTAACAATTAGGTGGGCAACAAAGAGGAAGAAGGGAAAAATAACGAATATCATATTAAAAACATAAATCCCACACATCAAAATAGAGAAAAATCAAACCATCGATTGATTTTATATTCCATTATATATTTCTTATTTATATAATTAATCTCGAAATAACAAAAAACTATTTAAATATTCTAATTTTAAAAAATATTGTAGCAAAATATATCCTTAAAGATAACAATATAAAATATATCAATCATATATTCAATTAATTATTTTGGAAAATCCGCCGACCCCAACCGATGGGGGAACGCGCCAGAGAACGCTATACCCAAGCAGGTGTCCAGACGCCAGTCCGAGCGCCGACCGGTGGCTATCTTTCTATGGCGTGGCGAGAGACGAAAGATGGCGTGACTATAAATATTAGGTTTATATTGTTGTGAGAAAACAACGTTTGGAAGTCCCCGAGCCGCTGGGAGGACAGATTTAGGGTCAATTTTGATTTGCAATTAGATGGTGGAAAGCTGTGGCGGGACAAATTGCCGGGAGCCTTGGATATGAGCCTCTGGAGCAGGATTCGGAGCTACCATTGGGAGCGGGCGCCTTGGGAATGAGTCTCTAGAGCCGTGCATGTATGGCGCAAAGAGAGATTTGTAATTATATTGTCGTCAGAAAGCAACGTGAGCCGCTCGGAGGACAGATTTGGTTTGGAATTAGCTGGTGGAAAGCTGTGGCGGGACAGATTGCCAGGAGCCTTGGACATGAACCTCTGGAATAGGATTCGACATTACCATTGGGAGCAGCAATCTTGGGATTGAGCTTCTGGAGTTGTACATATATAGCGGGCGCAAAGAGAGATTTGTAATTATATTTCCGTCAGAAAGCAACGTTTGGCAGTCCCCGAGCCGCTCGAAAAACAGATTTGGGGTCAATTTTGGTTTAGAATTAGATGGTGGAAAGCTATGACGGGACAGATTGCGGGGAGCCTTAGACATGAGCCTCCGGAGCAGGATTCGGAACTAGCATTGGGAGCGAGAGGCTTGGGAGTGAGTCTCTGGAGCTATATATATATGGCGGAAAAAGAGACTTTTACAGCCGCGTCAGAAAGCAACGTTTGGATGTCCCCGATTTGCTAGGAGGATGAATTTGGAATCAATGTTGGTTTGAAATTAGATGGTGGAAAGCTATGGCCGAATAGAGTGCCGGGGGACCTTGGACAAAAGCCTCTGGAACAGGATGCGATTTTAGTTTTTTTAAATTAGATGATGGAAAGTTATGACGGGATAGATTGCCGGGAGCCTCTGGAGCAGGATTCGAAGATGCCATTGGGAACGGGAACCTTAGGAGTGAGTCTCTGGAATTGTGCATATATGATGCAAGGATAAATTTTATATTGCCGTTAGAAAGCAACGTTTGGCAATCCCCGAACCGTTCGGAGGACAGATTTGGGATCAATTTTGATTTTGAATTAGATGGTAGAAAGCTATGGCGGAACAAATTGCCGGGAACCTTAGACATAAATCTCTGGACAAGGCTTCGGAATTGCCATTGGGAGCGGGGAACCTTGGGAAGGAATTTTTGGAGCTATGTATATATAACAGAAAGAGAGATTTGTAATTGAATTGTCGTTCGCAAGTAATGTTTAGCAGTCTCCGAACCGCTCGGAGGACAGATTTGGTATCAACTTTAGTGAACTAGATAGTAGAAAGCTATAGCGGAATAAATTGACGGGAGCCTTAGACATAAGCCTCTAAAGCAACATTCGGAGGTAGCATTAGGAACGGGAATCTTGGGAATAAATATCTAGAACTATATATATATGGCGTATAAAGAGACCTTTACAACCGTCTCAGAATCAATTTTGGTTTGCAATTAAATGATGGAAAATTGTGTCCGGATAAAGTGTCGGGGACCTTAGATAGAAATCTCTAGACAAGAGCAGGAATCAATTTAGACCAATTTTGATTTTGAATTAAATGGTGGAAACTTATAGCGAGACAAATTGCCGGGAACAAATTTCCGTATAATGTAAAGATAGATTTCTATATTAACGTCAAAAAGCAATGTTTAGCAATCCCCGACCGAGCCGCTCGGAAGACAGATTTGGTATGAATTTTGATTTGGAATTAGATAGTAAAAGGTTGTAACGGAACAGATTCCGAGAGCCTCGGACATGCGCCTTTGGAGCAAGAACAAGATTCGAAATAATTTTTGGAGATCAACCCCATCCGCCAAATCGTTCCTTCAATCTAAGAGAGCATACCTTCAAATTCTTGTGGCTCAAGAATCCAAGATGCATTGCGCGCAAAGACCACTACTAATCGAATAATGGAGAATTTCATTCCATGACCCAAAACCATACCATAATAATATTACATCCACCTAAACAAATTTTTCCATCGAAACAACCTTCAATCACCAAACTAACTTTACAAAAGAAATTAATAATATCTAATCTCCAATTTCCCAAATTCTTCAAAACTTCAAATACCTAATTCTTCACAACCGATAAGACACGACCCAATTTGGCATATTACATACATAATTAATTTTATTCATATTTTATATAAGCATTTAAAATTTATAATCAAAATTAAAATTCTGCATCTTTACAAACAATAATAATTAAATTTCGTATTTAAAATCGTAAATAAAATAAATAGAATTTTACGAAATTTGAATACGATATCATAATAATATTATATATGTAGCATCGATTATAAAAGATTTGTCGGATTTATCTTATTATATTTCAATTGCTATGCGGTTGCATTTCCAATTCGAAAATTAAAATCAAATATATCAAAATATATAAATCTATAAAATATAATATCGATTTTATTATTCATAAGAATTCCATCATTCCACGGTATAATTAATTATTATTATTATTATTATTATTTTTTTTTTTTCATAATAATATAAAGATTTTTATAATATAATCCATAAAGAATCAAACTTATTTATATTACATAATTCCTTTAATTCCATTTCATAGCCACCGAAAAATCAATCAATTAAAAAAATATATATATATATATAATCAAAATCATTTAATCATAACGAATTCAATATATCTTTCCAATATCTTCCCACATTACAAATCCTAAATATTTTCAAAGAACAACGAAATCTAAGATTTAAATATTTAATCTAACATTTAAATCATATATTTATTATTGATAACAATCAAATATCGATATAAAAATAATCTCGATCAAATCAATTAAAATAAAAAAATCAAAAACAATTATATATATTTAATCCTAAACATATAAAAAATCATCTACAAAAAAATATATTCCACTATTAACATCGATAACAAAAAACGACAACCCCTAACGTATATATATACTATTAAAATAAATTATATATTATAACTAATTCAATTTTTGCCAAATATTCGCGATCGAACGACCGTCCCAACATAAATAAAATACCCAATAATACAAACAAACAATATATTGGTATTTATTTTAAATATTACTAATCTATTAATCAATAAATATATCAATATATATCAAGAATAAGCATCAAGATAGCCTAGGTTCTGGCCATAATATGCCATAATTCAATTTATCAATGCAATCAATAAATTTGTCAATCATTTTTTCTTGAAATTCTTGCATAATCAAGAAATCTATTTCTGTGGTTGTTGTCGGTGTCGATCTCCGCAGCCAAAGCGCATGCGTATGGAATTGTTGAAGGGAGGGCCGGTGGCCGACCGACACGTAGCCTCGAAGATGTTGTTGAAGCAATTGATACCTGGGTGAGATGGCTGACACCAGGGTCATTCTGGCGTGAAACATGCCCCATTTCCGAGTGGCAAAACCTGTAGAAGGTCTCTGGTGTGGAAGGTGAAGAAATTTGAATTTGTCTGGTCGTCTGAGGCAGTTCTGGCACGCACCCAATGTGTCTAAGTCTAATCGTGACCCTGGAACACACCTTGATATGCATTTTTGTTCTGCGCTGCACTTCTGCACTGCACAGAAAACAAGAAAGTGGTGGAGTGGCACTGCGAATGGAACGGGTGATGCTGAGCATGCTTGATTCGAGACATCCAAAACAGTCCGGGAAAGACTCCTCGGCTACCTGTATTGGATGTCAGCTTGCGGTTTCTTTTCATGTGGCCCAGAAAAGAAAGAACTGATTGCTGCATGGTGTGCTGCAGCCCCCAAGTGATACCTCCCAAAATTGAAGATTCAAATCCTTCATGGCCTTCGTGTTTCCCATGCGAGCAATTGTTAAAACACATTGCGCAGTCTTGCTTGAATCCCTTGTTGCTACCAAGTGGTACGAACTTGTCCAAGCCTCTGTGCACATTGCCGTGCAAACATTTGTTAAACGGTGAAACCTGAGCGATACACCAACAAATCTGCTCGCTGGATGTTCACAGGAAGTAGATGAGTTGTGATCCTCCACCATGTACCTGATGGGCTCATTCATTCGCTCACCACAGTACATGTTAATAGGGAGACCCGTCACCAACAGGTTTTGGTCAATTTCCCGAAACTTCCAGGGTGTCTGTGGAAGGTCTCACTATATTCTTATACACAGATTTTGTGTACTGATCTGAAAGCGGTTTGCCACACGGCCTAGGTAACCATTTCCTAAGGGTACAGGTGAGAAACCTGAAAAGAAGTGGAGGTCCATCAAGTTTCAAGTGGCCAGCAAATCCAAAAGAAACCATCGATCGAACGACAAGCTGACGACGTACGCTCTGGTCTGCCGAGCGCATTAGCCCTTTACGGAGACTCAAAAAATGTTGCAGGTACGTCCAGCTGGCCAAGCTGGATATCCCATTTCACTCGTAGCTTCGTTGGACACAGTCCCAGTGAAGTGCTGTGGCCCCCCTGCTTAAAAGCATGAAACGTCAACAAAACACAATCCAACAGGAACCTTGTGACTCCAAAGGTTACACACACACGCCCCCCCCGAGGGGAGGCGAGAAGCGCTAAGGTCAGGGCAAAGTGTAAGTGCGCACGCAAAGAGACGACAAAAGAATGAAGACATGAAAAGGGGACTGGCGGGACACAGGTGTGTGTGGTTGCGATGAAAGGGAACCAAGTGCACAGGGACAACCAATGAAAACCCTCATTATAAAGACCTGGGCGACCTGAAGCCTAGGTTCAAGTAGGTTGTGCACTTACACACTAAGGCCAGGACCTGTGTACGCAAACGAAAGAAAGGATGAGATGACCAAACATGAAGACAGGAGGACATGAAAGAAAAGAGGAACACAAAAGTAAAGGGGAAAAGATGAACAGGGAAGCCAATGGAGGGGACGAAACCACTGAACCCAAGCCTGATTAGAAAGCCTAGGCAAATCTCGTTGAAAATGTGTGTGCTGTGTGTGTGCACCTGAGGTGGCGACAGGTTCCAATGAACCTTGAACAAGCTTCGGCCGCTGCGGCCACGTACGCCGTGCCAAAATGGCTGGCTGCTTAGACCGCTACGGTCACGTAAAGGCATAAAGCCACCTTGGAGTTCAATAGTCCGGCTTAAGCCTCCTGCTGTCCGCTCTGGACACGTACATCTCCGGGCAAGGGAGATAAGTACATACCCCCGTTCGACGGGTCCACAGAGGGCACTCAGGGGCTCACCCTGGGCTGGCATGAAGCTAGACACACTTAAGATTTTGTGTACTGATCTGAAAGCGGTTTGCCACACGCCGGCCTAGGTAACCATTTCCTAAGGGTACAGGTGAGAAACCTGAAAAGAAGTGGAGGTCCATCAAGTTTCAAGTGGCCAGCAAATCCAAAAGAAGCCATCGATCGAACGACAAGCTGACGACGTACGCTCTTGTCTGCCGAGTGCATTAGCCCTTTACGGAGACTTAAAACATGTTGCAGGTACGTCCAGCTGGCCAAGCTGGATATCCCATTTCACTCGTAGCTTCGTTGGACACAGTCCCAGTGAAATGCTGTGTCCCCCTGCTTAAAAGCATGAAACGTCAACAAAAAACAATCCAACAGGAACCTTGTGACTCCAAAGGTTACACACACACACACATCATGTTTTTCTTCTTCCTGCCCAAGCACAAAAGGAGCTCGTTCTCCGGATCGCAGGCAGAAGTGCACTCGTCCATCAAGGCAAATCGAATGCCTTGGGAGAGTGGAGATAACGTATCCTCCAAGTAGAGGCAAACAGGCGACACACTCAAAGACAAAACATGAAGATACAAAATCACCTAACAGGTATACGGTATAAACATATTACATAATATCATACATACACATAAAATCACATATATAAATACAAACACATTAACATATATTAGACCTAACATGGTCATCTCTCTCCGCAGATTCTGTTGAATTTCCCTGTTGGTTTGCCCCAAAAGGACAAGAAGTGTCTTCCTCATCCCCCCCCGTGCTGGTGCAGGTGTCTTGCCAAGAACATCCAAGAACCAACAACCATTGCTTCCCCAGTTGAGAAGCCTTTGTGTTGCTAGAAACATCTAGAAACACTAGGGATTCAAAAAACAAACAAACAAACAGAACTATATAGGTAACTAGGTGAGCGCTGAGCCTTGGAACATCTTGGAACGTTTGGGTTGACCGGCGCCCAACCTGACAGGTCGGAGACGCGTCGCGTCGCGTTTCTCGGTGTTGTTCGTCGTCGTGGCGGGTTCGCCCAGATTCTTGGCTGCAGGAGGACGCGGGCAAAGTTGATGCGCTGCTGCTGCCCCAGTGACAAGATATTGGCCCAATCTTTCACTTCCTCACTTGCTCGGGGTGGTTCACAATATTTACAAGCCCTTGAGAACAACAGGTATCAGGTATCAGTCAGTCAGCGCTTCTTTCGTGTGGCTACAGGGGAGTCGCAGCATAGTAGCTCTATGCTGTCTAGAGTCTAGATCATCAATCATCAGTGGTCGTCTCTTGAAGCTCTCTTCTTGGGAATCCTACTGAATCAGGCACCGATGTTTTCCCCCAAAGCAAGCGTGCACTCACCAATTGGATTCCAATTTCTACTAGTATCTTCCAATTCGTCACAAAAACATCAGGACGGAACATAGAAACGTCTTCCACCCCCCCCAGCGCCACACACGTCTTCCCCCGGTGTACCTCCAAGCCGACGTGGATCAGCTCCTCCAGGTTCACTGCACGGAGCACCTCCTCCAGACGAGTGCTCGAAGCACTCGAGGTGTCCACCTGGGGATAGAGCAGCTGATCTCTCAAAGAGCCCAAGAACATGTACCTCAGCTGCGGCGTTGATTGCGGGTGGGATATGTTGAGATCCAGGGTGATGTTTTAAGATCCTTTCCACATAAAAGGCCTGGACAAACGTGTTGGCAAACCAATTGGACCAAATTTTCTGTTTGGGGGGTATCTCCGCCAGATCCTCCCTCTTCTGTCCGTGGAACACTTGGGTGTGTTACCTTCCTCGGGTCTGAAAACCACCGTGGTAAGTACCAAACTGACCACGCCTGGTCACCCAACCCAAAGATCATTTACCCGGAAGACCAAAAACGTCATCCAAGAAAGGCACACTAAAGGCACCTGGCCATCTGTGAGACCCCATCCAGGCGGTTTTCCCACCCACATCAATGGACAACCAGAAACGGTTTCTGCGGCATGAAGAAGACCTGGCAGGTCTATGGGTCCAGGAGAAAAAGAACACGACCAAGAGCAGCTTTCACTAGTTTCCACCCACGAAAACTAGGCGCGGCCAGGGGTTCAAATAGCAAACACCAGGTTCTTGGTGGACAATGGCGACCGGAACAGTTTAACCAGGAAAATGGCACTACAAAGGTGTCTTACTTCCTCTCAAACAAGAGGTATAAGTTGATTGAATATGATTGAAGGAGATGTCTCTTGAATGTAGGTTCTTGATGAATCAACCCCCAAAAATGGATTGTAACACCTATTGATAGGGGATGTTTTATCAATCAAGAGTCGACATTACTTGAGGAGTAATATGTGGTTCACGGAAGTCGGTGAGACATGTGACTAAAGAGTGACTGGTGAGATTCCAATCGTAGGCAAGCAAATGCCTGTAGCCTACCTGGATCTTCCAATGTCCACTCTTTGAAAACTATTGGCAGTGAACGAGGAGCCCTTGGCAAATTTCCAAAAGAAACTTTGTATACCTCGTCCAGTTGGATCACCACTTATTTCTCATCCGTTCCAAACTCTGCCTTTACACTTGCTTACCTGTCTTTCCAATACGACTGCCACAGTCAAAACCCCTTCAACAGCCACTTGGTTGCCCGAGAGTGCCTGGAAACTGAAGAGATCTGAACGGATGACTTCCAGTTCCAGTTCCAGTCATTCCAAACTGTGGGAAGGAAACCCCAAATCCCCCAGATCCCACACTTGAGCCATGGCATACAAGTGTGGGATTTCAACAGCTACGTGTTTCACATCCCAAGGTCTCCCTCCCCAACCAACCATTCACCTTGGAAAATAGTTAAACAGTGATCGATGGCATCTATCTTAGGTGCTTGAGGGGAACGTTTCCTGTCACTGTGCCACCATCTTGATACAAGCTTAAACAAGTAGAAGTAGAAGCACCAACGCCAACGGCATGACAAAACCCAAACTACAATTGGTTACCATAATCCTGAAACATGCACATTCGGGAGGGTCCTGTGTCCAAACCAACGGGTGCTTCCTTTTCCAGAGTCGTCCATCACCAGAAGTTCGAAGGGCAGCTTCCCCAACCCTAATTATCCAACACTCAGTCTCCAACACTCTATTTCTATTTTTATCTATACTTAGGATCATGAACACCTGTCCCCCAAGACTATTTCGGGTAAGGATTTCACCAGAAACTCTCCGTTCTCATTCTCCGTTCGCCTTCGATCGAACCGGGGGGGGGTCGCCTCCGAGCGCTGCAGCTGGATCGAGCCAGCCACGCCCCACAGCCCAGCGGCCGCCCGCAGCAGGGAGCTCTTGCCGATGCCGCTGGCACCTGGATGACATGGGGAAGTGAGACAGCCTGAGAAATGGACATTTTCGTCTATCTCGTGATGTATCTCCACATATGAACCGGCTTCTTTTCGTCACATTGACATGCGGATTTGAACATCTTGTGACATGTGTGTCCCGTTAGTTAGTGCAAGTGGCATGTCAGGTAGTTTCGTAGTTTCTGGACTCCCACTCGGCCTACAGTCTCTAGCTTCCCAACTCGTTGCCTGAGATGAGGAGAGATTGCCCCTCGAGGACTTCGAAGGATAGATCCTCAAAGAGGACCTGGCAGCTGATGATTCTCGAAATTTCACATCGCAATTCGATTGGTAGGTAAACATGCTCTATACCTGGGAAAACATGCTGATGGGCACCCATGTTTGCCCACTTCTTTTGCAAGTTTCGGTTTGGCACAGGCGGAGCTGGAGCTGTTTTGGTTCCAAAGCCGACTGAAAAACCGCTTTGGGCGGAGCTCAAAGCTGACACCTGGGTGCTATCCTCTCGATGCTCCCGCTTCGCGCTGCGTCGATGATGGGACGGTTCTTTTCATTTGGAGAAGACGAAGTCAAGAAGTCAGCAAGTGCCGTATTCTCCAATATGAGTCTCTTTTCTTGAATCTGATCTTTGGAGCAAGTGACATTGCACTTGCTCATGTCAAAGTGGATGTTGTAAAACTATGAAGGCACTCGGGAACCAACGGGCGAGTCTTGATTTCATCTCGACCTGTCTCGACATGGCGTGTACAAACCGTAAAGAACCCGGTTTGAACAAAACCCAAAGTGTCCATAAACAAATTTCAGTCTCAACTTCGATCCTTCCCTTTTTGAGACTCTTCCATTCAAGTGAGTTCAAGTGAGGGGCCCCGGCACCCTTGTGCCAAACCAGTATTCCCCAGAGAATACTCTTCCTTGAATTCTGTGCAAATACGTCAGCTTTACCAACCAACATAACAACTCTACTGTTCCGGGTTTCCGGATGTGTCTTGAAAGTTGGGTCCGGATATGTCTTGAAAGTTGGGCACCAGAAGTAGATGAGTCCACAAAATCTACTAAAACTAACCTCTCAGCCCCTGCTTTGATCCCTGAAACACCGACCCGCGCGCGCCGTCGGCCTTCGGCCTCACATCCTTGTGCTGCGGCGTCCGTAGCGTCACAGCCTCGAAGCGGAGCAACACGCCATCGGTGGGGATCGTCCTTGGGAGGCGGGGACTGAGAGACACAGGTTGCGCGGAAAGCACCATGATCTGGTAATGGTCATGCTGAGGGGGGACAACAGCAACTACTTGTGGTTGTAAACAAGATAACTCCTGCCAAACGAAGTTTTGCCGGAAAAAAAACACAGAGTAATTAGGAGCAATTCAGGTGTCCTTGATGTCTCGTCAACTATAGTCATACCCTGCCGACACAAGAACATCTAAGAACGGCCCCAAACTGGTAAAGCAATCACACCCATCACTTGGTTTCGACATATCTATATCTATGTCATTCTATTTTAAGTGCAGGTATTTTTTAACACACACACACACACGTTCAAGTCCCCCAATCTCCACCCTCTCCCAGCCCATCCCCCCCTTGGAACTCTGATATTCCAACAAATGGGTGAATGACCCTCATCCTGCCAACCCCAGTGCCTGACCATACTACCAACGGTCTGCGGTACTTTAGGCATAACTCTCTCTCTCTCTCTCTTCTGCCATTCTCTGCTTGAGGTTTGCGGCCCATGTTCCATCACTGGCTGTCATTCTTTGGATTTGCATGCGTCACACATCTGCCCCAACCATTTAGAATCAATTCTTGCTCCTTTCGTTTCCACCTGAACTGCCCCCTTTCCCACCGCTGTCGAGCCACCCAGCCATGGCCCCCGTCGTCGGTGACACTGGCGGCAGGCTGAGGGCATCGTCCAGCTGTGCCAGGCGCTGCAAGCGGACACGGAGGTCGCTCAGGGATTCCAAGCCTCGAAGCCAGTGGCACAAACAAGCATGGCTTGTGAGATTTAGGGGTTCGGAAGAGGTTGTTCAAGGGTGGTTATCCAGTTTACAAGGGCTGTGGTTTTTCCCTTTCCGGTCAAATCAATGCCAAATTTGGAAATTTGATGGGTCCAAGCACTGTACGAAATAAACTGTTTCCAGTGTTTGGCTCATGTTTTGTGTACTGGTGATTTAGCTCAGCTCATGGCCTTCCAAGGATACTTTTTTGGGGACTACAATCATGCTCAACACAGGACCCCCCAAACAGTCAAACTCCAGTTGAGATGCTTAGGTGCGGCCGCACGTTGGACTGCCAACGGACAACCCTAGCACGATCTGAGCTGCATAAACTTCCCGCCAGGTCGGAAACAGAACGCGTAGTGGTGTGCGTTTCACAACATAATGAAGCGAGTGAGCAACTTGAAAAAACATGATGTGTTTTAGGAAACTTGTTGTTGGAGATGCACGTAGCCTGACCCTGTTTCTGCAAACATGCATTGTGTTTTACATGAGACAAAACATCTTTTTTGTTGCTGTGGTTACGAGATCAGTCGGTCCAGCCCGTCGGACCTATTTTCTTGAGCCAAAAGCCCAGACAGGGTCAAAAGGTACACTTCTGATTTGTGCACCTGTCGAAATTCGGAGTGGAATGTTCGATCCACACTCCCCCTGACTTCTGGGAAGTCACTTCGCTTTGGGTAGGTTTTTTCTTCTACCCTCCGCGGATTTCAAAGCCTTCATCAGACTCACTTGAGTCCTCTCGAACCCTTGAGGTTCCAGAAAAAACCGCGTCGCGGCTCCCAAGGGTCAGTTGACCTAGGCCTCACTGGCGTCTGCGTGGACACACCCATCCAGGTCGGTGTCTCCTGATCTGGGTCCTCATCCGGCGGTGGCACCGGATCCGGCCCCCTGTAAATTTCTCGATTCGGGGGTGCCAAGTTGCTTCGCACCACCCTCCATCCCCGGGCTGTCATCTCGTCCAAGGTTGGCGGTTCTTCATCCTCACTGGCCAGATTTCTCCTCCAGTCAGGTCGTTCTGCACTACTCTCTTCGCTCTCCAATGGCTGGATCCTTCCAGGCGACCCTGTGTCAACTGTCAAGTCCCGCATGAACGCCAGCCAATCATCCCGTACATCATCCTCCAATGTGGTTCCATCATGTCCTCCAGGTCCTTGTGCCCAATAGGCAGGGTCATAATCCCACCCTCGATCAATCTCTTCACTCACCAAGGAAAGCTCTCGGGAATCTCCAGACGTCCCCGATCCTTCAACTTCTCCTCGCTTTTGATGGCCATGAAGCCGCTGCCCATAGCCTCCAATGCCACTGCTACTTGCTCCCTCATTCACCCTTGTGCTGAGTTCCGAACCAGATTCCACCGGATTCGGGTCCTGTCCTTGACGATCTGGTCGGACATCTCGAGGCACTCCTTCCATCTCTGGACCATGTTCCGCAATGCCCGGCATTGGCGGTGGTCCGGAGGTCAGTGAACCGCTCATCGAGGAAGACGTCCTATCGCCCTGTCCTCTGGTAGTTGATGAACTGGAGGTCGAAGTCAAAGTCCCCGCCGTTGGGTCTGGATGAAGATCCCTGAAGAAGGTATATCCTACCCAGGGGTCCCTCATTGGTGGTTCCGTGTCTCTCCTCCATTCATCATCCCTGATCACCTTTTCCCCATGGCACCACAACACGGTGATTCTCCGATCTTGAATGTGGCTACAGTCCATAGGTGTGTGTCGATGAATTGGATGGAATGGTCTCATCCTCTGCTTCACATGATGTCTGACCCACCATCCCCCTGGAAGTCGGTCCCATCGATCTTGACCCCTCGAAGGCATAGTGAACCTCCTCCACGTCCAGGGTCGATCGTAGTCCACAACTGGAACCTCTCCAGTAGTCGTCGACGATGTCCCTCCGAGCCCTGTCGAAGATCCCTCTCTCAGAGCAGCCAATCGTGCCCTCTTCGAGTTGCCGCCATGGCTCACATCTACCGCGTAATCCCGGGAGCCCTCAGGGCTAGGTTCACTAATGGGTTCCTCTTCCGACCCATCATCTCTACTGCAGGTGGGTTCATCTTCCCTCACCTGATCTTGAAGTCCATATGGTGGATCTGCATATTCATCTCTTATCGGCCCAGTGGCTCTCTTCTTAGAATCACAGCCGGCTCTCCAGCTGGTGGCCAAACTAGCTACCATCGCAGCTACGGCTAGGCTCTGAGCAGCCTTGCCCGTGGAACCTGACGGCCGCCAGGCCATCACGCCCGCCAACCCACCTACCAGAGCTGCAATCCTGGCCACTTTGGACCCTAGGCTCTCAGACACAGCTTCCACCACTGGTTTCATTCCCATGGCCGCGAAGAAGTGCTGCCATCTCGCAGCCACTCCGATCGGCTTCGTCAGGAAGTCAGCCACCAAATGTTGACCTGGGATATGGATCACCTTCCAAGCGCCCCACTTCACCCTCTCCCGCAGTGCATGGGCTCGAAGACGAAGGTGACGTGTCCTCCAAGGTCCATCCGGCGCTTCAAGGATTCGAAGACCAGCTTGGTTGTCTCCCCCCAAACGGCACTCTATTCCTATTCCATCTCCTGTTCCTTCCAGAACATTGGTCAAGGCCGCCAAGGAATCCCCCATGGTCATCGCTTCTGTGTAACCCAGCAGTTCAGCCTCTGCGCTCGACAGCGTGCAAAACGCTTGCTGCCTGGATTCCCATTGGACCGGCTCGCCCCCGTAGGTTCCAATCACGCCCTGACACCCTCTCCCAGAAGGAGGTCCAAACGATGCGTCCGAAAGGACGTCCACCCTCATAGTAGGATTGTAGTGTTCTCCAGGGATTGAAGACCGGGCTCGTCCATAGTGAAGCGACCATGCCAAGGTGGTTTTCAAATATCCCAACATCTGACATCCATACTCCAAGACCCGCTTTGGAGCTCGGGTCACCTGTCGTCCCATCCAAGCCACTCCATAGGCCAGATCAGGTCGGCTTCTCACTGACACCCACAGTAGTTCACCTACCACTCCCTGCGCCTTTCTCACGTCTTCCAAGGTGACTTCCGCTTCCGGCTCCTCATTGGGCACTCCTGGAAAAGGTACCGTAGTCGGGGTCACCCAAGAATGTCTGCTCAGAAGCTCCTGAATGTATGCTTGCTGCCCCACATAGAGCCCGCTGTCCTCCTCCGCCGAGCTCCATCTCAGTTCAAATCCACTGAACTTCGTCCATCTCTCGCTATTGACCCATTCCGCCGGGCTGCACTTCCACTCCATCTCAATCCTGCTCAATGCTCCCTTCACGATGTCTTTGGCCCCAACCACCATAAAGTCATCCACGTAGACCCCAATGAATCCCTTCGGAGGCGGTTCCTCCTGATCCAGCGGTCGTCTCTCCACAATCTTCCAAAGGTTGGGTTCTGGCGTCTCCCGAAGCTCCAAGGTCCTCCCTTCATGTTGCCATTGAAAGGACCTCATCAGCCGGTTTCGATAGGTAGCCCAGTCCGCCGGCGAGGATCGAAGTCCATAGAGGGCGTGTTGAACCCGCCATAGTTCCTGAGGTCCCACAATGCCCGCCTCCACCAAAATGCGTGGCGGTTTCACCACTACCAATCTTCGACTGGAGTCTTCCCTGGGTGCCAGAAGGAAAGCCGTCTTGACATCGCAAGTGGCGATCTCCCAGTTCATAGCCGCCGCCTTTCGTAGAAGACATCGGATGGTTGTTCCGTCAGCTCCGCCGGCATACAGGTTCTGGGCCTCCTCCTTTCCCAAGGTTGCTGCACCACTGCCATCTAGAGCTTCCAACCGATTGCCGCAGACTACAATGCGAGCCCGCTTCTTCCCATGTGGTGCCTTGATGGTCGGAACCAACATCCCCGGCCTCGGTAGTCGTCCACATACTCCAAGTTGCCACCACAGAACCCACAGGAAATCTGCGTCGCCTCCACCAAGTCCAGCGTACCTTCCACCGCCGCTTGCATGGAGCTCATCACTACCCCGCAGCCGCGAATGTCCCTTGGATCCTCAGTCGGGACTTGGTGGGGGTGCCGGGGTTGAAGGAGTCCACAATCTCCACAACACACCATCGCCAGCTCCCCAAGGCATTCCCAAGCTCTCCACCCCGACTGCTCTCCTTCCGACTCCGGCTCCATCTCTTCGACCACCTCCTCGACATCCTCCTCATCGTCCACAAACTCCAGACCACCACCACTGAAGTCCCGCTCCAACTCCTCCAGGTAGTTCCTCAGCGGCCCGGAGACCTCCAACTCCACACCAACCACCTCTTCTTCTCCATCTCCCCCGACCATTTGCTCCATTGATTGATCGGTGGAGTTCATCATGCCATTCACAACCTCTCCAGGTTGCCATACCGACAGCGAGTTCAATGGTGTAGATTCCGGATTTTCCAAAATTGGTTCCAAAGTTGGTTCAGTGGTCTCCCCCCCAGCTCGTAGTACCCGAAGAGCTGGTCGGACTCCTGCATCAAAATGTCGAGCCACCACATCTTTTAGTGGGTGCGGGTCGAATGACTGTTTCCCTGTTAGTCGATGTCTGATGCCCTTGTCCTTGAGGTCCACTTCCTGCAGCTCCAGCACCGCTTCCAAGGTTTTCGAAGGGGTCACCACCGTCCGAAGATGCTGAATTCTATTCTGTTTGTCCTTTGCCACCCAACCCGATGACATCGACGGACTTGGTCCCAACACCTGTACTCTCTTGAACGGGTTGGTCAGCTCTCCCGTTTTGTGATGCCATCTTTTGGCCTTAGCCATGACCATTGATCCAAAATTGACCATTGGCTTCGATCCCACTCCCAGCCTCTGAAGTTGTAGGCGTAGTCGTTGAGTCGCAGCATGCCTCAATGCACATGGCCACAATGACGCCTCCACCTTGCTGGTGTGTAGGAGGAGCCTCATCCTTCGTTTGAGCTGCAGGAGCTCTGCTTCCACCCTGCCATTTGACTGGCTATCATCACCCGAGGTCATCGTGTGAACCATCTCCCTGGC